TCTAAACTGTGCCACAATAGTCGGATCAACAGGCTCCTTCAACAGTCATAAGTGTGATGACCAACGCCCCTTCCTCTGCTCCAGAGGTGAGTCTGTCCTCTGTGTTTCTGCACAGTCTGGTCCTCCTGGGCTCATCGGGCTTTTCTTTCTCTGCAGATGTCAAACCTTCAGCCTCGAGGTCAGTGAAGGTTCAGCTGAGGGTGGGATCTGCAGACCTGAACGACCCCACAGTGCAAGAATCCATCCTGCAGCAGGTCAGAGGTCACACACGGGCCCCGATACAAGGAACAGACCGCTATAACTACTGTGAAATGATAGAGAGCAGTGAGTCTGTGCAGGTTCAGGGACACGTGACAGCACACAGCTGCAGAGATACGGGGCTCGTTTAATGCAATCCCATCCATTTGTATTATTTAACCTTTTTTTAACTGGTAACTTGAAGAAGTCACTTAATTTCAGATTGCTGTGAGGAGACGACGTGAACCAATGACAGGCAATGAGGCCTAATTCCAGACTCCAGTTTCATCCCCAGCCAGTTCATTTAGTTCATTTCCCCCAGAAACAGCACGAACAACGTTTTCTGCTCACTACAGAAACAACGGCTGATTAATGAGGAGCTTCTGTTAATGTGTGAAAACTGTGTTTCAGGTGAGGGAGAAGCTGGTGGAGCAAGGGATCAGAGAGGAGGTGAAGCTGAGGTGGAGGACGCAGCCTGATGGGAAGGTTTTCCACAGAGAGGAGGAGACAGCCGCTTACGTGAGAAGGAAGACTGTGGCGGTTTAGTCTGAACGTTATTGGCTGATGTTCCTCAGATGATCTGCTGTGTAATTCAACTTATTTCCATCTCTGTACTCTGACTGCTGGACTGTAACAGCGTAGCTTTGCATGACTGACAGTTGGAAATCATCCTTCTTTATCCTAAGCTCAGATCAGAGTGTCTGATGAGCTGTTTTATGCCTCTTTGTCTCTTCTGATTGGTGAAGCTAAAGTTTGCAGGTGAGCAGGTGGGCGGACCTTCTGTGTCTCAGATATAAATGTTCATGATATCCTGTCTCTACATATGAAAGTTCAAGAGGAGAAAAAGGTGAAACTGAGTGTTCAGAGCAGCCTGATGTCTGAGCTTTTTGACTTCATACTTTATAGTTCAAATGAGCACCCAGCAATATAACAGTAGATATGCCGTATATGTCAGTGAATCGGGCATTTATGCTCTCTATTATGATATTAAATATACATTTTTCTGCTGTTATCAGGCTGCCCGGGCCCCCACGGCAGGTTGGAGGCTGTGCTCGAGTTTGACCACGTCCAGTATTTTCTGTACAGTCCAATCCAGGCTTCATAATAAGATGGCATCATAGAAGCGACCTGGCTGTTGTCCTGCGTGTTGGTGATGGTGCTCAGGTCTGTGTACGTCTGTCTGCAGTAAGACTGAGCATCAGACCAGGTCATTGAGTTCCTCACCAGGATGCGTTTGTTAGTCGCAGCTGAAACAAAAGATCAGACGGATTCAAACCTGCAGCTAAAATGTTCAGTTTGTCAAACCCTGGTACCAAAGTCTGAAACACTCACCGTCATAGCAGACAAAGTAATAAGTAGCTGAGCACGGTCTTGTGGACCATGATCCAGATCCAGTTAATATCACACACTCATCAGTCCCTGGCTGTCCCGGTGACCACATGTTAAACCAGGATGACTGAACTGGACCAGTTTGAGACCATTTCCAGCCGCTCCTGGAGAGTCCAATCCACGCCTCGGTGCTCCCTGCCCTTTTCTGAGCTTCCTGGATGAGAGCTGAGCTGTTAACGATGGCGAGGTCAATGTACTCATCTCTGCAGTATTGCTGAGCATCGTTCCAGGACTTCTGCAGGTCAACAAGGTGGAGCTGTCTGACTAACTGATCAGACTGAAGATGGCAGACCATCACGTAACCTGAGAGGACACGAGTCAGTCAGCGCGGTCACAGACTCACCTCAGCTCGACTATTTTAGTCATCAGGAGAATAAATTCTTTACATGCTACCACAACGCAAACTTTTTGTTGACATCTTTAAAGACGTGAATATATGTTAATATATGTGTCCTTCAAAGGATGTGTAACTCGTGCACTGGTTAAAAGCTGTTTTACGGTGCCTGTGGACACCTACACACTGGTTTCCTGCTCCAGGGCGAAACTCTCACATCAGCTTAAAAAGCTGCTTTAACAGTGCTAAGTTTGTTTTTCACTCTGGCCTTATTGCACATGTATTTGGACGATTTTTCCTCTTCAGTGTGCACAATGAAGGAAAACGACGTGTTAGTGGTCGAGGCTCAAAGCTGAACAACACGTGCACTAGGGCTGGGCCATATTATACCGTTCACGGTAATACCGGTACAATGTTAGGCAACGATAAGAAAATGAAATATCGTGATAAATATTTTTGGCCATATCGCCCTGCTCTAACGTGCACACGGACGTGGTAAAAGCAGTCAGGATCTTTTTCAGCGGGCTGACGGGTTTGCAGCGTTTCAGGCTTTCAGTCAGATTTCTACACAGAAAATTAAATCAAGACGTGTTTTTCTCAGCAGTGCACACAAACAGCCACGTTCATGCACTGACTCTTCCCTCCTTTCTTTCTTTACTCTTTTACTTCACTTTATACAAACTCTTACAAACTGCCGACTATTAAACTGTCAATCAAACTTCTAACTGGACCCAAAGAAACCTTTAGAAGTTTAGTTGACATGACAAAGGTCTTTGGAGATTGTTCGAGTGTTCCTGTGACTGCTTGAAGCTCGTTTACAGACACCTTTAAAATAATCCCTATGGAGCAGTTCACTTTGTGCTTTCTTTGACTTTCTGACATCAAAAGTTTTATTCAAACTGATAAATGAGGCGACTGAGATGAGTTCACAGACCTGAGAGCAACAGCAGGATCAGTCCACACCTCTTCATGACTGAGAGCTGAAAAACTGTGAAGACGTCCTCATGAATCTCATCTGCAGCTGCTCGTTCATTATTAATCATAACACTTAAAGCAGCATCAACAAAGAGGCAGCTGTCTCTGTCATTCACTCCATTTCTATCTAATCTAATCATTCAAACAAAACTATCAAACATATTCAACATTTGAAACGTTCAACTTTAAAAATGTTGTCTTCCTTCAATTATCATCATTTTGTTTATTAGAATAGCAGATAATGAATGTGTGAGATTATCAAATAAACCAAACATATGCATAACATACCCGACACGATGAGACGTCTGTGCAGCTGTGACACAGTCAGAACTCTTCATCTGATAGAAATGTCATCCTCGCTCCTCCTCCCACGTCCACCAGAGACTTTGTAAAAGTGGTTTTAGAAAGCAGCCCAGTGCATTTGATTAAAGTGCATTTGATTAAAGATGCTCAGAGTCGTTTAACTGAAGATGACTTATTCAAAGTTAGTACAGATGCAAACAGACTGACGTCTGGCAGAACGAGCTGTGAACTGGAGCTAAACGAGGTCACAGGCGTCGAACCGTGAAACTAGGACTGAGGTTAAACGCAGTAAACGGGCCGTTCGGTTTCAGGCTTCAGTGTCTGTGAGTGGAAGAACACGCTTCTCCTCCTGACTGGAGGTCAGCGTGTCTGCTGCATCATCAGCAAAGATGGACGCACTTGGAAATGTTTGCGTCTTCATTTGAATCCAAGGCCGAGGTTTGCTTGCTGTGCGTGTGTTTGCATGGATACAGCGCTGATTCTCTGCCCGACCACTTCAGTCTTATTTGAATAATGTTGTCATTATTAGAATTGGGACAAAAGAGCGTTCAAGCTCGACTCCTCCAAACAAATCAGTGATGATGACGACACAACCCGACACATTTCACGTGTCAGTTCCAATCATAGAGAACAAACAGTTTTTATTTTGTTCTTTGTTTGTTTGGCTTCAGCGTCTTTTTAATGATGTTACAGTTTTAGTGCGTCTCCTCTAAAAGTGCAAAACGTGCTTTGAGAGTCTCACACAGCACCACTCCCAAAGATGGAGGCTCAGTCACAGACAAATAAAATGCACTGATTTTAAAGTCACCACTAAATTTCACTGAAAGAAGAAGCCAGACCTGCCCTGGATCATGAAAAAGGTGCAGTTTGAGCACTGTGGGTCCTTTTAGTCATCAGCTACAGGCTAAGCTGCTGGTTTGCTGACGCTGAACAAAGATCTGGTTTCCAGGAATTACTGAGTTCGATCCTTTATTTCTACTGGTCACGCTCAGTCAGGTTAAATGAGCTTAGCTGCAGAGGTAGCAGAATCAAAATGCTTTATTAATACCAGAGGAAATAATGTGGTCACAGTTCCTCCAATACAATCAATAAATAAAATATAATATGCTACAAAGTTACAAAATATAACAAAGTAGCTCCGATATATAGCTTTATTCTAAATATCCCAGTTTGTTACACAAAATTTAATATAGATAGTTAAATTAAGGCGCCCCTCAACAGATTTGGCATGAAAAGAAGGGAAGTAACATGGGGAGTCCACCTTAACTTTATTCACTGTAGTGTCTCAGTGCTCGTGATGCAGGGGCAGTGTAAACGGAGGATGGATGGAGGGGGGTGGGTGCTCCACCTTGGATATGACGATGATGATTACACTCCTGCTCACTCAGTGGAATTTTTCTGCTGCTGGGCCCAAACTCATCCTTTCCTTTTACTGAGCTCACAGGTGAAACAGGCTCTTCCTCGCTCCACGCTTCTGTGTAAATGCATGTAGCCCCGCCCCTTCCAAGGTCACATGATGTTGCTCACTTGCTGAGTGAAAATACAAGATTTTTTACACTTGGCAAGTAATTTGGAGGCAGAATAAGGAATACTACAAAGTTCAACACAGCCAGACTTTCTTTGAGTCAGCTGCCTCAACAAAGTCTTAAAGAGATAATAAAGACAGCGGTTATCAACTTTCTCTGTTGAGATGGGCTTTTTAACCCTGTGAGGTCATCATCACTGATGACCCTGAACCTAACTGTCCCAAACCCTGTGTTGTGGTTAGTGTCAGACGCAGAGTCAGTATAATAAAGATAGCCATGGACGACTTTCAGGACATGCTTACTAATCTACAGCCTAATAAATCAAATGAATATTTCCAGAAACTGATCACAGGTGACCCCTGACATCCTGCCCACCAATTCTTTGACCCGCTGCCCTCTGGTCAGCACCCCAGCTCAATCAGGTCCCACACACCTCCCCCCACACCCCACCCTGACCACCCACCCACAAATCAGAGCCATGGTCTGGGTAACCCTCATCACTCAGGACGCTCACACACAGACTCAGTTTGCACTACTTCAAAGCACGTTGCAACCTGTTCTTCCAAATTGTTTATTTCTGCACAGTTGTTGTCGAGCACCCACAATTTCGTTGTACATGTTCAGCGACAATAAAAGGCTATTTTGTTTAATTCTTTAATGTGAGGAGCAGGATTTTTCAATTCAGTTCAATTCAATTCAACTTTATTTATATAGCGTCAAATCACAACATAAGTCGCCTCAAGGCGCTTCATAGATACAGAGAAAAACCCAACCATCATATGACCCCCTATGAGCAGCACTTTGGCGACAGTGGGAAGGAAAAACTCCCTTTTAACAGGAAGAAACCTCCAGCAGAACCAGGCTCAGG